CACATATAAGGAAAACCATTTTGTCGATCCCTCTCCTATGACTAACCCCACTCAGCCCCACTCTCTCCAGAAACCCCACGGTGCAGCAAATTGCATGACTTCATTGAATTTTTTTTAAATGACTGAGTAGTATTCCATGGTGTATATGTATCATAGTTTCTTTATCCAGTCTTCTATTCTTGGACACTTGAATTGTTTCCAGATTTTTTGTTTGATTTTGATTCACATTGGACTATGTTTAGGGCTTAGTCCTGGCTCTTTGCTCAGAAATTACTCATGGAGGGGCTCTGGGAACTATATGAGGTGCCAGAGATTGAACCCCAGTTAGCTGCATGCAAGGCATGTACCTTACCCATGGTACTACCAACTACTGGTAGGACCTTTCCCCAAAAATCTAAGAACCGAGCTTCCATATGACCCAGCGATTCCACTTCTTGGCATCTACCCTCAAAGCCCCCAAAAGAGACATTTGCACGCCTCTATTCATTGCAGCAAAAGTGTCCTTAAAATTCTGCTTTGGCCTCACTAGAGCTAAGAGAATGCAAGGGGTACCTTCTCCCAGAGATAGGCGGTCACAAGCTCTGAAAGACAAGAGCGAGTCCGCCTCAGTTTTTCCTCAGCCCAGAGAGTCCTTCAAAGTTACTTTTGTGATGCTATGAGGGGTAGTTCCGGAGGTGAAACAAGGGTCGGGACGAATTGTCCATGGTTGGAAGCCGGCCTCAAGGGCTGGTGGAGAGGGCAGGTGGGACAGAGGACGATTATTATGACAATGATGGTTGGAAGGGATCGCTCTGGATGGGAGATGTGTGCAAAGGACAAAGGACCAAACATGATGGTCAAAAGTGGGCAAAGGACCAAACATGATGGCCTCTCAACATCTATATTGCAAAGCATTATGTCCAAAGGGGGGGGGGAGAAAGAGAGAAAGAGAGAGAGAGAGAGAGAGAGAGAGAGAGAGAGAGAGAGAGAGAGAGAGAGAAGTGCCTGCTATAGAGGCAGGCTGGGGGTGGAGGGTAGGGTGGGGGTGGCAGGAGGGATACTGGGGAAAAAAAACAGTTCCTGGGCCTGGAGTGGTAGCACAGCAGGCAAGACATTTGCCTTGCATGCGGCCGACCTAGGTTCGACTCCCAGCATCCCATATGATCCCCCGAGCACCGCCAGAAGTAATTCCTGAGTGCATGAGCCAGGAGTAATCCCTGTGCATTTCCGAGTGTGACCCAAAAAGCAAAAAACAAAAACAAAAACAAAAACAAAAACCAAAACCAAAAAACCCTCCTCTCCGAAAAAATAAAAAAACACTTACTTTTGTGGAGGAGGGGAAGAGAAGAGGCGACATTGCAAAGGACTTTGACAAAGAAAGTTCCTATTTCCGGCATCTCCCGGCAGGGGCCCATATCTCTTGCAGCACCCCAAGTACGCATAGCACGTGGGACAGGCTTCAGAGCACACATTTAGACATCACTTCCCTCTGTGTTCAAGGGTCAGCCTCCTTTGGATGCGACCCATCTGTCACTGTCACATTCAAAGCTAAATACAAAGGGAAAAAAAAAAGTACTCACGAGTAAAGCTATTTTCCTGCAACTGAGAGTTTGCAATTTTTTAGAATGAACAGGGAAAGGCATCATTTGCTTCCCTTTCTGGCCAAATTCCTCCAACAAAATGACATCGTGGCAGGTTAGGGCAACCTTCACTTTTTATGAGATTTTTCTCTGCACAGCTTTTAAAAAAGAGTCGTTTTAACAATTTCTCCCCCCACCCCTCAAAAAATGCTTGAGGGCTTCCTAAGTTTTCCTAAGGGCCTTGCTTTAAAAGAGAATCTTTAAACGATTCTCCTTGGAGGTACTTATTCATTATCCTCATTGATTTCCTCTTGGTTAATTATTAACACGTCTCACCTTTTTCCATAGTGCTAATAACTAGCATTTTTGGAGTGCTTTTCTGGGCACTGGGCTCCTTCTGTGTGTGGATGGATTCCCCCTGAGCTCATAGAGGGAGGACAAATGGTTAGGGATGGATGCCCAGGAAGCTGAGGTCGGGAGAAGGAACTCCCTTTGGCAACCGTGTGTGGAGGAGGAGACGCTTGAGGGGCAGTCTCCCAGCCCTTCCGTTTGTCAAAGATACTGTGTGCTCTCTTGCCACCAGGGATGTTGGTGAGATTCGCATTTCTTAGTCACATTAACAGCCTGGCGCGAAGTCCCTAATAAAATACTTTCTACCCATTTTTCATTAGATATCTAGACATCTAGATATATTATGGAAAATAATAATAATAATAATTATATATATATTCAAAGGGCAGTTACTGGGGGCGTTGTAGACTTAGCCCTTGTTTCATTCCTCCAACAAACTGATAACGCGGCAGGTTAGGGCAACCTTCACTTTTATGAGATTTTTCTCTGCACAGCTTTAAAAGAGAGTCATTTTAACAATTTTTTTACCCAAAAATGCTTGAGGGCTTCCTAAGACATATATATATATATTATAAGACATATATATATATTATATATATATATTATTATCTCAGAGAACCCAGCAAGCTACTGAGAGTATCCCACCCGCATGACAGAGCTTGGCAAGCTCCCCATGGCGTATTCAGTATGCCAAAAACAGTAACAATAACGGGTCTCTTTCCCCTGACCCTGAAAGAGCCTCCAATATGGCAGCGTTGGGAAAGACAAGTAAGGAGAGGCTGCTAAAATCTCAGGGCTGGGACGAATGGAGGCGTAACTGGTGCCTGCTCGAGTAAATCGATGAACAACGGGATGACAATGATTACAGTGACACAGTGAGTCACATTAACATGTGATCCTTGGGCCCGGTGGAGTGGCATGAGAATGGCCATCCTGCTGTGACTGATGACTGCCTGGGTGCATTAGGCCAGGAGGGACACCGGAGTCACTGAGGGTGGGGCACTGAGCCAGGGCGAGTTTAGGAAGGGGCCAGTTCTTGATGTCTGTTTTTATTGACTTCAGAAGGTACTGTGTCTCCTGGTGTTTCACTAATAAAAATTTAAAAAAAAGAAAGAAGATACTGCGTGAGCGTTTCTTTGACCTCAGAAGGAACTGCATGAGTCAGAGAAGCAAGTTCACAGCTGTGTGTGTGGCTGGTCAACTCAAGCCTCTCTCAGATTATCTCTCAGATTCATTTCTTGACATAATGAAGAGTCAGTCATGACTATTGTGTGGAGCTAGGAGAGGGAGAGGAGGGGAAGGAAGTGGAAGGAGTCAAATTGACAGTTTTTTTGGACACCGACTCAGGACCAGTTAGTCTTGAATATGAGCCTGGGAGAAATTGACGACTTGGTCCATTGTACAGGTAAAGAAATGGAGCCACAGGATGACTGAGTGACTTCATCTGGTTAACTCAGCTCTAGAAAAAAAATATCTGATCCAAAATACATTGGATCAGGCATTCCTGAGACCAACTCTTCAGAATCCCTTTCTGACTCAAAGTCCCGTTTTGCCCTTGATTTGTAAGAAATACTGCTTCGCTGCTCAGGGATTGTTGAACTAATGAGGGAGCGGAGGAACACACAGAGGAAGTGAGATTTGGAGAGCAAAGCCTAGGGATTGATCGATGCTGAGGACCTAGGGATCAGTGGTAGAAAAGCTGGTACTAACTATCCTGATGCCTCCTTCTGGACACCATCCAGGTCCTGGGGTCCTGGAGCCATTTTTTTTTCTTCATGCATGTGGCAGGAGGCCCGTCATTCATTTCTTGGCAAAGGACTTATACCCAAAGGTGGATGCTGACCCCACTGGCCTCAAACCAAATAGAGGAACTGATATAAGATAAAGGGGATTACTCCACTCAAATAGCACAGCAGGTGGGGCGTTTGCCTTGTGCATGGCCGACCTGCGTTCGATTCCTCCATCCCTCTTGGAGAGCATGGCAAGCTACCAAGAGTATCCTGCCCGCACTGCAGAGCCTGGCAAGCTACCCACGGCATATTTGATATGCCAAAAACAGTAACAAGGCTCACAATGGAGACATTACTGGTGCCTGCTTGAGCAAATTGATGAACAATGGGAGGACAGTGCTACAGTGAGACTCTGCTCAGAGATTATTCCTGGTGGGCTCAGGAGACCATATAAGGTGCCGGTATTGAACCCAGATTGACTGCATGCAAGCCAAGTGTCTTATATGCTATACTATCTCTTTGGCCTCCCTTTTTAAAAAAATTTTTTTAGAGTGTTTATTAAATTTAAAAAAAATTTATAAAGTGGTTCACAATGTTTGATTACATTTAATATTCAAACACCAATCCCACCACCATGACACCTTCCTACCCCCATATTTCAGATGTTTCCATGCTGAACCCCAATCCCTGCCTCAAAGCAGAACCAATATATTTTGTATTGTTTGTTGTGAAAAACCACTGAAAATGCTACAAAAAGGTATCCTTAGAGGAAATATCTGGCCTTCCTTTTAATTCAATCTGTAGACCAACTGTCTGTCCGCAGAAGTCCAGCTCCTCCAACCCCGTGGCCTGCAAAGCCCCCAATTTCTTTGATGCTAATCAACTTTCTATCCTCTCCAGAACTTTTTCATCAGCCTACAACACTGCCTTCATCTTTCCCCTGGAGAGCCTGGCAAGCTACCGAGGGTACCCAGCCCACACGGCAGAGCCTGGCAAGCCACCTGTGATGTACCAAATATGCCAACAACAGTAGTTAAAATAGATCTCATTTCCCTAACCCCGACGGAGTCCCCAGCTGAGATGGGAAGAACAAGAGGGCTTGTACTAAGCAGATGGCGTGCAAGTCAAAGGCAGGAAGGCACCCCACAAGCAGCTGGCCACCAAGGCAGCCCGCAAGAGCACGCCAGCCACGGGTGGCGTGAAGAGGCCACACTACTACCGGCCTGACACCGTGGTGCTACTCGAGATCTCCTAGCTGCCGTTCTGGTGGCTGGTATGCGAGATTTCGTGGGACTTCAAGTCTGACCTGCGCTCCCAAAGCTTGGCCATCAATGCACTGCTGGAGGCATGTGAGGCCTACCTGGTGGGGTTCTTCAAGGACACCAACCTCTGCGCATTCCCTGCCAAGGGCATCACCATTATGCCTGAGGACATCCAGCTGGCGTGCCGCATCCAGGGAGAGAGATCATAAAGTTTACGATGCTAAAATATCAGGGCTGGGACAAATGGAGATGCTACTGGAGCCTGCTCGAGTAATGGATGATTAATGGGATGACAGTGACAGTGACAGTGACAACACTGCCTAGATAAGAACGTAATCTGGCTATGCTGCAGGCTCCTTCTTCCTCCTCCTCTAGAGCAAATCCTCAAAACTCGCCCATCCCTGACAACACTCTCTTCTTGGATGATCCACCCATCAAGCCTTTGTACCCCCTGCATGCACCCCTCACTACATCCGCACTTATCTTATTGAGGTGTCTAGTGGACGCTCATCAATTCAATGCGTTTGGTTTTTGGGGTCAGACCTGGTGGTGCTCCGGGCTTCCTCCTGGTTCTGAGCTCAGGGATCATTCCTGGTGGGGTTTGAAACCGAATGAAGTTGCAGGGATCAAACCCGGATTGACTGCTTGCCAGGCAGATGTCCTGCCCTCTGGGCTCTCGCTCCAGCCCTTCTCAATCCTCACGTCCTTCACCCACTTGTCCTCGGTATACTTGGTATACGTTCTTGTCTCCTCTCGGCGCTTGTCACCTTTGCCTTGATGTCTGGCTCCTGGGCCAGGCCAGTTTTGAGGTGGGTTGGCGACATACCCACTCAGGGACTCAAGCTTCATAGCTTCATGAAAGGCCTGGGCCACCGTCAGTTTGCAATTTATTTTTTAATTTTTTTTTGCTTTTTGGGTCACACCCAGCGTTGCACAGGGGTTACTCCTGGCTCTGCACTCAGGAATCATTCCAGGCAGTGCTCAGGGGACCATATGGGATGCTGGGAATCGAACCTGGGTTAGCCGCGTGCAAGGCAAATGCCCTACTCGCTGTGCCATCGCTCCAGCCCCCAGTTTGCAATTCTTCACTTCCAGGATGGGTCCCTACGTTTCCAGCTCCTGATGTGGCCGGCCCGAGTGCTGATGGTTCCTCTCATCTGTCTGAACTTGTGTTGGAAACTGAGCCCTCGGGAGGTATTTTTTGGGGGGCGGGAGGAGTTGCAGAGTATCTCTGCAGATTCCCACTCCCCCTTTGGGGAGGGTCTCATACAGAATCAGGACTTCCTGACCCTTCTCAGGATCTCTCCTGGCCTGGTCTTTTGCTTTGAAACGCGAAGGCTGGTCTCCTGCTGGTCACGGACAGCTGTGCCTTCCCAGGGGAGACCCACTGGATAGAACCATGGGCAGCCGAACCCTCCTTGGTAGACCCACTTCCAAGAATCTTCTCATGTCCCTCTCCCTTCCTCTTATGCTTTTTCCCCCATGAGCTTTTATTAGTAGCCTATTTAACATACACACAAACATGTACACACATGCATGCACATACATGCACACATGTATACACATGTGCGCACATGTACATGCATACTCACGTACATACACACATGCAAACACACACACATACATCCACACATGTTACACATGCACATACGCACACACATATACACACATGCACACTCATGTGCGTACCCACATGCACACACAAGCACCCAGACACATGCATACACACATGTACACACACACTTGCACACACACTCACGCACACACATTCATGAGTGCACGTGAATGTACACACACAAACACAACACACCTATCTTTTATCTTCCTAGCCCGTGAGAGTCTAGTTCCTAGAAGACAGAATTTGGATGTTGCATTTCCTATTGTTATCCCCTTGAAATAAGTAAGAGGACAAAGAACCTCCAGCTTCAAGCACATTCCACTGTTCTTCCTGCATTAACATATGCCTCAGAGACCTGGGCCCTACGAAAACAGGATGAGAACGCTATTCGGGTCCCTCAAAGAGGAATCGAAAGAGCTATGCTTGGAATATCATGATTCACTCAAATGAGAGATAGAATCTGAAGTTCTGATCTCCGTCAATGCTCAAGAATCAGGGACGCTGTCTCATTTGCCAAGGCATCAAAAATCAGATGGGCTGGACATGTAATGAGGTTTACAGACAACCGCTGGACTAGAGCCATTACTGACTGGATTCCATGGGACGTCAAAATATTGCGTGGACGCCCACCTACAAGATGGTCAGACTTCTTTGTCAAGACCCTGAATGATCGGTTTGAGGCTCTGCATGTTCCTAGAATGAACAGATGCCATTGGGTTACTCTAGCACTCAACAGGGATGAATGGAGACGTTACTGGCACCTGTTCGAGTAAATCGATGAATAACGGGGGATCAAGTGATCAAGTAATCCCCTTGAAAAAGTTTGCTATTCCTCATTATTCATGTCATTCCCTTTCTGCCCATTGTCACGTCTCTGGGATTGAGATGTTTCTTCTTTTTCTCACCCCCTTTCTTTTGACGGAGGGAGCGTTGAGTCACACTCCACAATCACAGCTCTGTTCTAAGGAGTGATGCTAAGGGGGGATGCTGGGGAACCCCGTCCACTGGCGGGGACTGAACCAGGTTAGGTACATGCCAGGCAAGTGCTTTATTACCCCGTACAATCTCTCCAGCCCCTGGTATGGAACTGTCACAGCATCAGGGGCCAGCAGCTCTCATTACCAAAAGATACACCCCGAAGCTTCCAAACTTTTGGCATCAGAAGCCGAGAAGGAAAACCAAGATGTTAGAGCAGCATTCTTCAAAAAAATTTTTTATAGCACAGCGGGTAGGGCATCTGCCTTGCATGCAGCCAACATGGCCAACCTGAGTTCGATTCCTCCACCCCTCTCAGAGAGCCCGGCAAGCTACCGAGAGTATTCGATATGCCAGACACAGTAACAACAAAGTCTCCAATGGAGACATTACTGGGCCCGCTCGAGCAAATCGAGCAAATTTTATTAAAAATGGAATCACCCGAGATTAGTACCAGGAATTTTGCTGCATGACTTGGAGGCCAGCCACAGGTACTAGGGGAAAAGGAAGCTCAGATAGAGAAGGGAGCACCAAATAAAGGGTGTTGGGAGGATCCTCCCAGGATGGGAGAAGTAGACTATAGACCGAACATGATTGCCACTCAATGCCTCTTTTGCAAACCACAACACCCAAAAGGAGAGAGAGAACAAAAGGGAATGCCTGACACAGAGGCAGGGTGGGATGGGCGGATGGGGGGTGGGAGGGATGCTGGGACCCGCGGTGGTGGAGCATGGGCTCTGGTGGAGGGATGGGTATTCGATCTTTGTATAACTGAAACCCAAGCACAAAAATCTGTAAGTCTACAACTGTACCTCATGGTGTTTTACTAATAAAAAAAAATGGAATCACCATGGATGACAAAGTTATTCAAGATTGGGCTTCAGGTGTATAATGTTCCAACACCCATCCCTTCACCAGTGTCCACTTTCTTCCACTAGCATCCCCAGTTACCTGCCTGTCCCCTAGCCTGCCTCTGGGACACAGTGGCTTACAGCTCCGCTACAGTGAGGGCGTCGCACTGGGGTGTCATGCCTGCCATGTCCCTTCCTTTCATCACTCACTCCAGAGGGACCAAGCCCTCCATCATCGTCTAACGGTCTCACTTCCTCCCCTCCCCTCCCTCTTGCCCTAGTGACAAGCTTCTGAACAAGGACCAGTTCCGAGATGAGCTCTTTTTTTTTTCAATTTTTATTTATTTTTTTGCTTTTTGGGTCATACCTGACCATGATCAGGGGTTACTCCTGGATCTGCACACAGGAATTACTCCTGGTGGTGCTTGGGGGACTATATCGAATGCTGGGGATTGAACCTGGGTCGGTTGCGTGCAAGGCAAACACCCTACCTGCTGTGCTATCGCTCCAGCCCTGATGTGTTCTTCTAAGTACTCCACAGAGGCACCAAAGAGAGGCAGCTTTTCTTATAAAACAAGAGCAAAAAGGGCCTTGGAGTCAGAAAGAGATTCTGAAGAGCTGGTCTCAGATAGTTTAGGAATGTTTTATCCAATGTATTTTGCAGATATTTTTCTTTCTGGGGTTGGGAAGGGGTGTCAAAAAGGGGGGTCAGAAGACTCTGGGGCCCCACTAGAGATTCTTTTTTTTAATATATATATATTTTAATTTTATGAAGTAGCTCACAATATTTCATTACATTTAATATTCAAACACTAATCCCACCACAATCCCACCTTCTCACCACCATATTTTAGATGTTTCCATCTCAAATCCCAACCTCTGGCCCAAAGCTAACCGAAAAAAATATATTTTGTATTGTTTGTTATGAAAAACTGCTGAAAATGCTACCAAAAAAAAAATATATATATATATAGGAGGGCTAGAGGGATAGCCCAGCGGTAGGGCGTTTGCCTTGCACGCAGCCAACATGGCCGACCCGAGTTCGATTCCTCCGCCCCTCTCGGAGAGCCCGGCAAGCTACCGAGAGTATCTCGCCCGCACGGCAGAGCCTGGCAAGCTCCCCGTGACGTATTCGATATGCCAGACACAGTAATAACAAAGTCTCCAATGGAGACGTTACTGGGCCCGCTCGAGCAAATCGATGATCAACGGGAGGGCCTTTACTTTACATATATATATATATATATATATATATATATATATATATGGGGTTGGAGCGACAGCACAGCGGGTAGGGCATTTGCCTTGCACAAAGCCAGCCTGGTCGAGCCAGGTTCGATTCTTCCGCCCCTCTTGGAGAGCCCGGCAAGCTACCGAGTATTACGCCCGCACGGCAGAGCCTGGCAGGCTACCCGTGGCATATTCAATATGCCAAACATAGTAACAACAAGTCTCACGAAGGAGACGTTACTGGGCCCGCTCGAGCAAATCGATGAACAACGGGAGGACCGTACTTCATATATATATATATATAGCACACATATATATCTGTTAACAAAGTATATTTCCTTCTAAGATTGTTTGCCTCCTGCTTTGAACCCTATCAAATGTGGTGTGGTAATCTTGGAGTATGGGTAGGGTGTGTGATTTGAAGTATCGAGTGGCTGCATGGCCACGCAGTTCAGGAATAGATTCACTCGTGCGTGAGGCTTG